TTATCTAATTACATATAATATTATACAAAATAAAAAGATATGCAGCGTTATCAATTTAAATATACGAATAAAAACAGTGTACAATTACTACATTTTCATAATATTTTAATTATTATCCATAGCAATTTATTAATAATAATTTACTATTAGTAATAGATGTATGAATAAAATAAACAAATTAATCGCAATTAAAAATCAAAATAAGTTGGATATAAAAATCTTAATTCAAAATCGCCACGTTCTTATAATTTTCACCACCGCTAATGAGAGGGGAATAATCCATTTCTTGCGAGACAATGTGAACCTTTTATCCATATTAATGTGTGTACATTATAGTCACACGGCTTACCGTATTAAATGATAATGAAATGCTAATGATTGTACATACTTGTAGGTAATTTACAAACTATTTTGATTAAGTACAAAAAACATTTTTTAATTGTTAAAATTTAAAAAAGAAATGTAAAGAAATAAATATTTAATTAATTCGAATCGACTTTTAATCGATTTGTACAAAAGATGCCTATATGTATAGTTTTGGTGTACTCGTGTTGATGCCTTAAAACAAATGTGCTTCGGCTGTTTCGGTTTAAAAGGCAGCGAAGATTTATATTTGTAATGTGATATTATTGAGTGAAGTAGCAACTCCTGAAGTACTTTTTGTTCGTCATTTGCGTACTAAATTATCTTTTCGTCTGCTTCTTACATACGCGTGGATTACAGAAGTAAGAATACCTGTTAGTTTTTTTTTTGCTTCTGTAATCTGTAATTTTTAACAGAGGGAGACTTTGTACAAAAGTGGTAAAGCAGTTATGCTTGCATGGCTGTGTTTCGGTTTAAAGGGTGGGATATGGCGAGAATTTACAGAGTACAGAGGAATAACTCCCAAGTCCTCAGGAATGGCAACGCATGGGGGATATCATGGGTGAAACAGTATACTCTGTTATGTCCATGGTACTGCTCATGTCTATAGGCGACGGTTACCACTTTCGATCAGGTGAGCCGTTAGCTTGTTTACCATTCTAAGTTGCATAACAAAAAAAAAACAAAACAAGTTATATAAAAAAATATCGAATATGGAATATTCATCATACTAGCTCTAAACTGTCCACTGTTGAATATAAGCCTTCCCCATAACATAACAGGGGACCTATGCATGCAGAGATGTTTTGAAAGGGACGCTGCTGCTCATCCTTCGACCATTAAGTTGCCTTAGTCTTTCCATATTGTCCGATGGACAATATTCCATACTATCATGGTCCCGGCATAAAATAGGTCACCCTTTCCATTCCAGTGGGTGTCGTAAGACTCGAGGTCAATCGAAAGATGGGCAACAGCGTCCCTCTTAAAACATTTTCAAAGCCTAACTGCGGTTGCCAATCCGCCATCCAAGCGTGGCAGCTATTGGCAAAACCTCTAAGGGAGAGGCTTATGTTCAGCAGTGGGCAATTAAAGGGTGATATGATGATGATGATGAATCATTGGTTATTACTTCACTATCGTTTAGTACATAACAAGTACAGTATTCGCAATATACAACTATAAAGGTACGTTCACACATAAGCCGAGTGTACTTAATTAAAGTTGACACAAACACAGGCATTGTTGGTATCTCGTTTGTTCGTAAGCGCTTTAATTGGACGATAGTGATCCACGTTGCTTTATAAATTCATATCATTGCACAAGTTTGTAATTTGAAATAATTGCAATTAATTGTAGTGTACTCGTGTGACTTTAGCTTATAACTTTACCTTTTTTTTATTTTGAAATAAAATTAAATAATTATTATCCTGGTATAAGAATGCGAGTATCTATTTAGGAAACCGAAATATAGCCATGCAAGCATTATTACTTTATTATAAGAAATAAGAATGGGACAGGGGTACCCGAGTTAACGACTTTCGTACAGTCGTCTTCTGCATAAGTTGTTGTCCACATATATATACATATATAGATTATCTCCCAGACAACAAAAAGTCGATTGCTTGGGTACCTCTGTCCCATTCGTGTTTCAACCATGAAGCAGTTGTGTTTGCATGGTTGTATTTCGGTTTGAAGGGTGGGATATGGCGTGAATTTACTGGGTACGGAGGAATAACACCCGAGTCCTCAGGAATGGCAACGCATGGGGGGTATCATGGGCGAAACAGTATACTCTGTTATGTCCATGGTACTGCTCATGTCTATATGCGACGGTTACCACTTTACATCAGGTGGGCCGTCAGCTTGTTTGCCATTCTAAGTTGTATAAAAAAAATATAAATTATATAGATGAAATGAAATGAAATGAGATTTATTCGTAAAAAACATAACTGTAGTTTCTTAATTAATATTATAGTTTTACAAGGGTACAGTAGTTGTGGTTTTAGAACTGGGCTCCTAAATAGGTTAATATAATAACCTGTGTTAAGGGGCCACAACCCCAACCATTGATAAAGCCTCGAGCCTCAAAAACGGGTCAATTTTGTCAGCTAATTGTTAAATTAGCTAACTCGCTTTATTATCAGTGTTCTATATACTTACATTTACTTACATATATACAGCTATATACATATCACTTTCAACTATAATGTCTTCAATAGAAATGTTCTTGTAACCACTTCTATGAATCTTCTTCCTTCTTCTCTCTTCATCTTGACGTGATGTCCACAACCACACCAAGTTGAGGCATCAGGAAATTCACGGGTATATTTCAAACTCCTGTGAATTCTCCCAGTGCCAAGACACGGTGTGGTCCTTTTAATATCTTGTTTCTTCGTCAATTTGCTAGAACTTCTTTTTACTTCTTAAATTGTTTTTGCATGGCATTGTCTGTAAATCGTGTTTTTGATCAAATAAATTATTATTTTTATTACTTTTTGAAAGCTTTTAGTACTTAATTATTTGTCTCCAAAGAAAAATGATATTATTGACGTATTTAAAATAATATTATAAACAATAAAAAATTGTTTTTTTTTTGTTTGTAATAGATTAACTCAGAAATATTATCAGACATAGAATATTTAAACGTAAATTGCTTTTAAGCGTAAATATAAACGAATATAAATCTAAACTAATGCTAATAAGGTTAAAGATTTGATTTTTTATTTTGTAATGGATAAACTTTAAAAATACTTTTTCTAAACAACAAACTTTTTCTACGATTTCAAAATCAGAAGGTTTTCTATTCGCCTATATTTTTGTGTGTGTACGTTACACGATATCTTCGCTACCTCTAAATCTATGAAATGTGTTACCGATTTACTATTTTGTTATACAATAAAAGCATAAATAATTGGTTTTAAAACTTATGTTATTTTTTTTAATATATATATATATATATGTATAACTGGAACTGTGTGAACTTTTTGTGCGTGACGACACACTAACGCAATGCGCCGTATTCTCCTTTAAGAAGACTCCTATATAAAATCGAAACAATTGTCGGAAACGATAAACATAGTAATTTTAAATTTTAAATTATATAGTTAAAATACCCGTTATACTTACATATATATAATATAAGTATTGATTAACCGTTGGTATAGTAATAGACAAAAGATTTAATTATTTTATTTATATTATAGTTCAGTTATATGCAGGTTGAAGTTGAAAATCATCAGCATTATTTTAAGAGTGTTTTTGAATTAATTTGATATCAAAGAATGAACTCGTCGTAATAGTAACGTTTTGGAAGGAACAAATATTTTGAGGTATTTCGACTTATTTTTTAATTATTTATACTTAAAAAATAAGTCAGTTTTACAAATGGAAAATTTCCTTAAAAGAATCTCCCAACAATAATAAAAATATTTTAATAATTACTATAAAACAAAGTAGCTAAAAGTATTTTAAATAATTCTATTATTATTATCCTATTAATATAATAAATGCAATATTTATAACGATGGATGGATGTTTGTTAGTCTTTCACGCAAAAACTACTAAACGATTTGAATGAAATTTGGTACATGGATAGGTTATATCCTAACTTAGCACACAGGATAATTTATCTACTTACTAATTTACGCAATCAAAGCCGCGGGATACAATAGGTATAATATACAGGATACAGTTAGTACTATATAATTGATGCATGACTTCAGATTCACCCAATGTTATAAAAAACGTTTTTCCGTTATGTAGAACAATACTAGTTTAAATTTTTTTTAACAATACGTTTTCCAACTCCTTAGTAAGCAAGACTGGCATTTATTCATTTTACTATTTTGTGAATATCGTCAGTAGCAATTGCGGTTTACCGCAAATTTCCGTATCATCGCTTAATATAATTTTACTCCATTTTATAAGGTTTTACCACGGCTCGACTTATTATCGTATCTATTATAATGGAATATAGTTGACAATCGGTTTATAGATTTTTTTAAATAATATAACAGTAGTGTCGATGACTGTAGCGGGTTGAATTAAGTTATAAAAGAGTAGCGGTATATTATATTATATTATGTCTGTTATAACAATGACGCACAATATATCTAACAAAAAATATAACAATAATATAATTATAAATAACAAAAACGTTTATTAATTTATATTTATACAAAGGTGAAGCATTTATAATTACTATGATGAATTAAAATAGCTTATAGTACCCATATGCTTACATAACAATCAATGTTATGCAAGGTCTGACTTAATCTTAAGTATTTATTTATTTATAAAAATACCCAGGCTGTAAACAAAACATGATTGTATGATAATTGAAATGAATTGAAATTTTATTGTTAAAAGTTATTTTTAGTTGAATTAAAATTGCAAGTTTATATAAATTTAGATAATTTAAAGTATTGAGGACTTTGTTCTACCCACCGTATTGGTAGAAGTACTGTGTCTAAAATCGTGTGATATTGAATTATTCATTAAGGGAAATATATATATATATATATATATATATATATATATATATATATATATATATATATATATATATATATATATATATATATATATATATATATATATATATATATATATGTTACGATATTACAACAGATACTTACCTCATGCGTGTGCAGTCGTCATGGATTTGTGTTGCTCTGAAACAAACAAAATTATATTCACTACTTTTTAACCGACTTCAAAAAAAGAGGTTCTTAGTTTGATTTGAGATATTAATCTCAATAATTTGTCATTTATAAATCGGTTTGGAAAATTCTTTTTATATTTAAAAAACATATATATTCAAATTACAAATAAACAGATACCGCGTACGGGTAAACGCAGTGTAGGACTAGATGGAGTGACGACCTCGAATGCATTGCACGGAGTCAGTGGATGCAGGTGGCTCAAGACCGTTCTTTATGGCAGTCTATGGGGGAGGCTTATGTCCAGCAGTTGACGGATAATGGCTGAAATAATAATGATGACTTTCAGATTAATGCTATGGAAATTTTATCAAAATCAGTTCGGTAGTTTATAGTTTTTACATCAAAATATTTGATTTTGCCACAATTGAAATCGGTTTTCTTTTTGTTGAACAAAATCTACGATTTCTTTATTTTTTTTTATTTATTTTTTTTTTTGATAATGTAAAAGTAATTTTCCTACGCCATGGTTTACATTAGCAGCAAAAATAAAATTATACAAATGAAAAATAATTAACTAAGTATTAACTACGATAAGTTTCCGTATTGGAGTATGAGGAGATCGATTTGTTTTATACCAAGAAGGTAGCAAACAAGCCCGTATAGCCTTGTGCATGCATTTGATGGTAAAAGGTCTCTCCAGTCTGTGCATGACTACAACCAGGGACGTTATGTGGCTGTTGCTGAATTTAAAGAAATACGCCTTTTTTAACTTGTTACTAGGGAGAAAAATTTGGACCACTGGACGGAAATAATGGATTATTGCTCTGTGGTTCTAGTACAGAACAGGGCACCTCTTTCTTTCTTGTGGTTGTCGTAAGAGGCGATTTAGGGGATTTAATAGTCAAGGGACAGGCAGCAGCGTCCCTCTTAAATGATCACCAAAGCTTAACTGCGGTTGCCAATCCGCCTGCTAAATGGCAACGACTAACAAAACACCTCAACAGGGGGAATATATATCCATTGCTGAATTTAGGCCATATTCAGCAATGGACACGTAATGATGATGATGATGATGACTCCATTATTAACAATCTCTTTCACCATCCTTATTTTCAAAAAGTTTATGTTACTTTTTAAAAATGCTAATGGAATGATAACTTTGCGTACATTATCAATTTTTTTTTTTATTTTGGACGGTAGAAATTTTTTTCTTGCATGTGAAATTTTGATGAGCAATGCTATTTTAGGACCACTATTCACTGGATACTGCGTTTTTCTCATATGAATGAGCAATCTCGGCAGCCACACAAACTTCAATCGAACCGACGAACAAAGAATGCACAACAACGTATGGACGAAATCGTATGTTATCGATCGACGAAATACTTAAATCACACGATATCTCACTGATTCTAATCACATTGCTTAAACAAGGACCACAAGCGTATGATGGAATCAAAATGCACTGAAATTGTTTTAGTTAATTAATTTATTCCACAAAAAAAATTTTGCTGAACTAATATTATACTATGTAATGAGGGTTGAGCGCTGTTGTCTGATATGCAGGTTTTATAACCTAGTGCAGACACAGATGTTTAAACTGGTCCAAATGTACAAATGAATTCGTACCTACTTTTACTGTAATTTCCAGTGCTGAGTTTTTATAGAATTATTACTATTATTATTATTATTATTCTACAAAAATGAGAAATTCACAGTGTACAGTATGAAAGTTGATGGAGGAGGAGCTCGGAAACAGATCGCCGTGTTGCAATGCTACATTAATCAGTGTTTCCATATTTAAAATTTACATTGTTAATTTATAGTTTTACAATAAAAAATATTTTATGTTAGGAAATAATATTGGATCTTAACACTGCTCATACGCTAGCAATGGCTTAGTAAAAGTATTGAAGGAAGAAACAAGTGATGGCTACAACCAGGGATGTCGGGGGGGGGGGGGGGGGAATGGATGGTTAGTAATGAAGACTGAGAATCCCATTGCTAGCAATATACCCAACCAGGTCGACCTCCTCGCGGTTCCCCCTGGAAACCATCATGTTTAATTCTTGTCGAATTAATCATGGTGGGCCAACTGACCTGCATTCAATCTCACCTATCATCTTTCACTGGTGCCTCGTCGGTGTATACCGATAGCGCGGGCGGGGTTACCATTCCATTTTGTGATTCCATTCACAGTGAAGTCTGTCCAATGGACCCATTGTGATAAATTCATTAGGAATTAGCCATTATAGTTTCCGAGCGAAGAAGTCAACCTGTATATATTGCTGTGTACTTTGCTAGTAATTGGAACTGAAATTCCACAGTACTCTCCCATCTACCTTTCCGTGGCATGTCTTTTTTTTAATAGATGATAATGAAATGGTTTCTCCGCCTGAGTTATTACTATATACTGGCGTATTTTTTTTATGGGTGATAATGGAATGGTAACCCCACCCATGCTATCGGTATACACCGGCGGAGCACCAGTGAAAGATGATAGGTGAGGATGAAGCAGGCCTGTTAACCCATCGTGACGAATTCAACAAGAATTGTTCACGATGGTTTCTAGGGGGAACCACGTGGAGGTCGACCTGATAGGGCATATTGCTAGCAATGGCGCTGTCAAACTCCATTGCTAACAACTCCTTTTCCCTCTATATACTGGCGTAGTAGCAGTGAAGGATGAAGCTATAAAAATTAAGTAAATTCTGTTGATTCATCGAAGAAAAGTTACTAGAATTAATAATGATGATTTCTGGGGAAATCACGTAAAGGTCGACCTAATAGGGTATGTTGCTAGCAATATGATTGCTAATCCCCATTACTAGCAATTCCTTTTTCCCCCGTTAAGTATAATTAAGTGAATCACATACGTAAAAACCTTATAAAATCTATTGATAATTCAAGTGAACTACTGTAGAATGACGTACGGTAGATGGGCTAATAAATAAATGTCCATCCTGACAGACGTCTGACATTTAATGAATGACATATGTAGGTACCATAATAAATAAATAATATAATATTATTCTAATCGCGCCCATTCAGTTCATAATAATCCATCCTCAACGTTTCGGCCCATAAATATTTCAAACTTTAACGCCACCCACTTATTTCTTTATGTGCCAGTTAGAAATCAACCATAATCTTATTACACAAAGTTCAAATTACTGTAGCACTGTGAAGTAGTTGGATAAATGTTGTTGTTACCCCGTTGCCATGGCAACTGCTGATTAAAGAAATAAACGGCACCGGTGACTTTGATACGTCGGTAATGTAAAAACATGAATTAATATAAATCTTTTCTTTTTGTCAAACCCATTAAGTGACTGTTCTAATTTTAAAAATGTCGAATTAATATGCTAATAACTGGGTTGAAACAAAAACAACATAATTAATCATTCTACAGGGGGGAAGGGGTTGTTAGTAACAAGGATTTAACAGCTCCATTGCTAGCAATATACCCTATCAGATCGACCTCCTCGCGACCTGAAAACCATCTTGGTTAATTCTTGTGGAATTTGTTACGATGGGCTAACTGACCTGCTTTCATCCTCATCTATCATCCCGTACTGGTGCCCCGCCAGCGTATACCGATAGCGCAAGCGGGGTAACCATTCCATTATCAGCAATTAAAAACAATTATTCTACAAACACCTACTTTAAGCTGGCCTTTTTTACTGGGAGATAATGGAATGGTAACCCTATCTGCGGTATCGATATACGCTGGCAGGGCATTTTAAGAGTTGATAGGTGAGGATGAAACAAGTCAGTAGGCCCATAGCGACGAACTTATAAATAATTAACCACGATAGTTTCCAAGAAAAACCCCGTGGAGGTTTTTTTTTATGGGTGAAAATGGAATGGTAACCCCGCCTGCGCTAACGGGATACGCTGGCGGCGCACCAGTGTAGGGTGATTGATGAGAATGAAAACAGGCCAGTTAGCCCATCATGATGAATTCATCAGGAATTAACCATGATAGTTTCCAGAGGGAGACTTTGTACAAAAGTCGATTGCTTGGGTACCTCTGTCCCATTCGTGTTTCAACCGTGAAGCAGTTGTGTTTGCATGGCTGTGTTTCGGTTTGAAGGGTGGGATATGGCGTGAATTTACTGGGTACAGAGGAATAACACCTGAGTCCTCAGGAATGGCAACGCATGGGGGGTATCATGGGCGAAACAGTATACTCTGTTATGTCCATGGTACTGCTCATGTCTATAGGCGACGGATACCACTTTCCATCAGGTGGGCCGTCAGCTTGTTTGCCATTCTAAGTTCTATAAAAAAAAAAAAAAAAAAAAAAAAAAAAAAAAAAAAAAAAAAAAAATTATATATGTGTACAAATATGAAGTGTGTACAACCGTGAAGCAGTTGTGTTTGCATGGCTGTGTTTCGGTTTGAAGGGTGGGATATGGCGTGAATTTACAGGGTACAGAGGAATAACACCTGAGTCCTCAGGAATAGCAACGCATGGGGGGTATCATGGGCGAAACAGTGTACTCTGTTATGTCCATGGTACTGCTCATGTCTATAGGCGACGGTTACCACTTTCCATCAGGTGGACCGTCAGCTTGTTTGCTATTCTAAGTTGTATAAAAAAAAACTCATATATTTGTATATGTTCACGCCGGATCACTTGTCAAGCTGATAGAAATTAAGGTTTAAAATAACACTTTTACGCGATACATAATAGATACGATTAATTTATATTACCAAATGGAATAAGCGAAACACCAGTTTTCTAAATTCAAATATTTGAGCGGAGATTATATCTACAGATCTTCGTAACGGTAGAAATATATAATACAGATCAACTAAAGATAAGATAAAATTGATTGGCGAATATTTTTTTTTAACTACTACGGTGGCAAATATATATTTATCACTTCTCAAAATCAGAATACTATTTTAACTTAAAGTTTTTTTTTTATTTTATTTGACTATAATCAAATATTGGGTACCAGTACAAAAACCGACTTGAATTGTGACAAAATCAGTTATTT